CCCGGGGGGGCCGGGCCGGTCCCGGTGGCGGCGGGCGGTGGCGGGGGCCATGGCCAAGGCCTACGACCACCTCTTCAAGCTGCTGCTGATCGGGGACAGCGGCGTGGGCAAGACTTGCCTCGTCATCCGCTTCGCCGAGGACAACTTCAGCAGCACCTACATCTCCACCATCGGTGAGTGGGACCCCGGGACGCCCCCGGGACCCGCCCCCGGGATCCCCCCCAGCTGGGACCCACCGGGTTTCACCGGGACTCCTCAACCCGGGATCCCCCAATGGGACCCTCCCAACCTGGGACCCTCCGAGACCCCTCCCGGGACCCTCCAGTGGGACCCTCCCCAACTGGGAACCACCGGGATTCACCGGGACCTCCCAACGGGACCCACCGGGATTGTCCGGGACCCCCGCTCTGGAATCCCCATCCTAGGAAACCTCCGGGACCCCCCAGCCGGGATTCACCGGGTCCCCCTCTCTCTGAAATCCTCCGGGACCCCTCCCGGAACCCTCCACCCGGGACCCACCGGGATTTACCGGGATCCCCATCCTGGCGCTCAGCAGGAGCCCCCATCCCAAATCCCCCGGGAGCGCTCACCCCACCCTGGAACTCAGCAGAACCCCCCCACCGGGACCCCACCGGGACCCCGGTTCTTCCCGGGATCCTCCATCCCGGAACGCCCCGGGATTCCCGTGCCAGAACGCCCCTCCCGGATTTGGCCCCCCCTTTCCCGGGGAGCCAGATGGTTACCGGGCGCCGGGACGGCGGCACTGGGAGCACCGGGAGCACCGGGAGCACCGGGAGCACCGGGAGCACTAGGAGCACCGGGACGGAACCGGTTCTGCTCCCCCCGCTCCCAGTGCCCCCCTCCCTCTTCCCCAGGGATCGACTTCAAGATCCGCACTGTGGACATCGATGGGAAGAAGATCAAGCTGCAGGTCTGGTGAGTTGGGGGTGGGGGGCGTCAGGGGAGGGTGGGAAACCCCCGAATTCCCCCCAAAATCCCCAAAACCGCCCCCATTTCCGCAGGGACACGGCGGGACAGGAGCGCTTCAAAACCATCACCACGGCCTATTACCGCGGAGCCGTGGTACGGGGAGGGGGCTGCAGCCCGGGGGGGAGGCCCGGGGGGCTCGGACCCCACCCCAAAACCGCGGGCAGGGGGTCCCGGCCCCCCCCTGAGCCCGGATTCCCCCAGGGCATCGTCCTGGTGTACGACATCACGGACGAGAAATCCTTCGAGAACATCCAGAACTGGATGAAAAGCATCAAGGAGGTGGGTGTGGAGATTCCGGGGGTGCGGCGGGGTCGGGCGAGGGTCGCGAGGGTCCCGCCCGTGTTTTTCCCCCTCCCCAGAACGCCTCGGCCGGGGTCGAGCGGCTCCTCCTGGGCAACAAGTGCGACATGGAGGGGAGGCGGAAAGTGCAGCGGGACGCGGCCGAGAAGGTGGGAGTGGGCTCGGGAGGAGCCTGGGGGGCTCTGTGGGGCTGGGGAGGGGCTCTGTGGGGCGGGGGAGTCTGGAGGAGTCCTGGGGGGCTCTGGAGGGGTCCATGGGGTGGGAATGTGGGGGCTCCGTGGGAGCGGGGCTGTCTGTGGGGCTGGGGGTGGGGTCACAGGAGGTTTGGGGCTTCCTGGGATTTGGGGTGGGAGGTCGCAGGGGGCTGGAGGGGCTCGGTGGGGATCACAGGGGGGTCGCGGTCCCTCAGCTGGCGAAGGAGCACGGGATTCGCTTCTTCGAGACCAGCGCCAAGTCCAGCGAGAACGTGGAGGAGGTGAGGAGGGGTGGCGGGGCGGGGGACTGCACCCCCGGGGTTGGGGGTCCCTCCCACGGGGGGTCCCCGATCCCCTGAGCAGCCCCTGTCCCCCCCAGGCTTTCCGCACGCTGGCTCGGGACATCCTGCACAAATCCTTCCGGAAAGCCGTGAGTGGGGCCGGGATTGGGGAGGGGGCGCAGGAGAGGGACCCCCTGCGCCCCCCTGACCCCCCGCTCTCTTGGCAGCCCCCCGGCAGCAGCAGCAGGGCCCTGCTGGAGCCCGGGACCCCCCGAAAGGCCGGCGGGAGATGCTCGCTGGGATAGGGGCCGCGACCTCCCCGAGACCCCCGGGGCAGCGCAGGCGCCTCCCCGGAGGGATCTGGGGGGGATCTGGGGGGGATTTGGGGCTGCCCCCCCTTCTCTCCTCGTGCCATAAAGCCCCGCTGTGCCTTCTCCCGGCTCCGCTGTCTCTTTGAGGGGGGTTTGGAGGGGCGGGACCGGGACCGGGACCGGGACCGGGACCGGGACCAGGATCGGGATCAGGATCGGGATCTGGGTCGGGGTCAGCGTCGGGATCTGGATCGGGATCGGGATCGGGACCGGGACCGGGACCAGGATCGGGATCGGGATCAGGATCGGGATCTGGATCGGGGTCAGCGTCGGGATCTGGATCGGGACCGGGACCGGGATGGGGACGAGCGCCATCAAGTCCGCGCCCAAGCCACGCCCACACCAGGGCCACGCCCCCAGCTCATCCGCATACGCGCGCCCCTAATTAAACATAACCACGCCCCTAATTAAACATAATCACGCCCCTGGTTTTAATTAAGCCCCGCCCCTCGTTCCCATTGGCTGCCCCGCCAGGCCCCGCCCGTCGCTTCCCGGCACCTCCGGCACTTCCGACATGGCGGCGCCACCGTCGCGGCGGGGCCGGGCCCGGTAGTTCCCGGTAGTTCCCGGTAGTTCCCGGAAGTTCCCGGAAGTTCCCGGAGGATCGCGGGCCTTCCTGGGGGTTTCCGGCGGATCCCGGCGCCCCGATGGGGCCCGGCGGCCTCACGGTGCTGCTGGCGGTGCTGAGCGCGGTGCCGGGCGGGCTGCGGTGAGCGGGGACCGGGGGAGACCGGCGGGTGGGAGCGGCGGGCCCGGTGCGGGGCCCTCACGGCAGCTCCTCTGTGCCCACAGCCCGGCGGCGGCGGCGGCGGCGAGCGAGGAGCGGCCTGGTGAGGAGGGCCGGGCCGGTACCGGGGGGTCACAGCGGGGTCCGGGGGGCCCAGATCTGATCCCGGGGGCTCAGACCGGGATGGATCCGGGGCTGGGGGGCTGGAGACGGAGGGGGGTGCCCGGTAGCGGGCTCTGGGGCTCTGTCCCGGCCGCTGTCCCCTGACCCGGTGTCCCCAGCGAGCCCCGCGGTGGCCACGCCGTGCTGGCGGGTGGAGCAGTTCGTGGTTGCCCAGGAGTGCTCGCGGTGCTCCGGGTTCCAGATGGTGAGTGCGGGTCCCCGGGGGGGTTGGGGTCACCCCGGGGGTCTCGCCCTGACCGAGCCCTCCGTCCCCCCGATGGGCAGAAAACGATCCCGGCCTGCGGCCCCACCGGCTTCATCGAGAAGATCAACTGCGCCTCGTCCCACCGGGATGAGTACAAGAGGTGGGAGCGGGGCTGGGAATTCCCGGGGAGCGGGGCTGGGAATTCCCGGGGATCAGGGCTGAGAATTCCCGGGGAGCGGGGCTGGGAATTCCCGGGGGATCGGGGCCGGCAATTCCCTGGGATCAGGGCTGGGAATTCCCGGGGAGCGGGGCTGAGAATTCCTGGGGATCGGGGCCGGCAATTCCCGGGGATCGGGGCCGGCAATTCCCGGAGATCGGGGCTGGGAATTCCCGGGGATCGGGGCCGGCAATTCCCGGGGATCGGGGCCGGCAATTCCCGGGGATCGGGGCCGGCAATTCCCAGGGGAATGTGCTCCGCAGCTGCCGCTCGGCCGCGCTGGAGGCTCAGCGGTTCTGGCACTTCGTGGGCTCCGCTCTGGGGGTGGCGGCGGCGGCTGCGGCGCTCGTGGTGCTGCGGCAGCGGGTGCTGGACCGGCGGGCGCTGGAGAAGGTCCGCAAACAGATCGAGTCCATTTAGCCAGAGGCTCCCGAGGGGTTGGAGCCGGGAATTCCGCTCGCCCGGGGCGGCGGGAGGAGGAGCAGCCTCTGCCTTGCTGCCCAGACTTGGAATCCTGCTGGGATCTGCCTTGGGAGAGCATCCGAGGGATCCCCCGGAGCGGGATGTGGAATAAATCCTGGTCACTGCTCCCGGAGTGACGCAGTGTTCCTCCCTTGGGGGGAATCCCTATCCCCCCCAGCACTGGGATCTGCTCTGGGATCATCCTGGGCATCCCCAGGGCCCCGCTCCAGATGTGGGATGAGAGGGATGTGGAATAAATCCTGGTCATCGTTCCTGGAGTGATGCTGTGTTTGTTTTTTGGGGGGATCTACCCTGGGAGCCCACCCCGGGAGCAGAATGTGGAATAAATTCTGATTAATGTCGCTGGAGCTGCAAGTGCGGGTTTATTCTGGAGTGTTCCCCCCATCCTGAGGACTCCCGGTCACATCTCATCCCCACGTCCCCGTGTCCCTGTCCCCACGTCCTGCCTGGAGGAATTGGTCTCTGGATCCCCCTGGGGGGCAGGAATCCCATCCCCGGGTCCCCCCCCGGCTCCATCCTCCAGACCGGATCCGGGCTCTGTCCCCCACATCCCCGCCGGGAACGGGGATTCTCCGGCCGCTCCCGGCTCCCGCCGCGTCAGGATGTTCCTGGAGATCACTGCGGGAACCGGGAATGGGGTGGGCGGCGCCGGGGCGGGGGGAGCGGTCCCCACCCTGTCCCGGCGCTCCCGTTACCTCCGGTGGGTCCGAGGCCGTCCCGGCTGCCGCCCCCGCGGAACGGGCTGGAGCTGGGGAGCAGGATCAGCCCCAGCGACAGGAACAGGAGCTGGGGGAGGGATGGGAGCCGTGAGCCCCGGAGCGGGGCCGGGAGGCTCCCGAGAGCGTCCCGGAGGTGCCGTACCAGGACACAGGTGCCGGTCTGGGCGGGCTTGGCGGACGTTTCCTTGACGAGCGCCTGGAGCTGCCGCAGGAGGGACCTGCGGGAACGGGGGTCAGCTCCGTGCCCCTCCCGGTGCCCTTTTCCCGGTGCCGCACGCCGGCTTCGGGCTCATCCTGGGTCCCCCCGAGCTCACCCGTTGCTCTTCTCCAGCTCCTGGACCTTTTTCCGCAGCTCCTGGTTCAGTGCCGAGCACGCGGCCGCCCTGCCCGGACAGAGACGGGACAGTGACGGACACCCGGGATAACGGGAACGCCGGGATAACGGGAACGCCGGCCCCACCTGCTCTCCAGCCCGTCCAGGTATTCCTTCTTCCTCCGCCGGCTGTCCTGCGCCGACTGCTTGTTCCGGATCTTCCTCCGCACCTTCTTCAGGAGCCGCTCCTGGGCCTGGGGCACGGAGGGGTCACTCCCGTCCCCCCCCGGTCCCCCCGAGCCCCCATGTCCCCGCACACACCTGGGTGAGGGGCAGCTCCCCGGGCAGGGTCACCCCCTCCTGCGCCAGCAGCCGCTTCTCCTCCTCCGTCAGCCGGAGCTGCGGGACAGGGATGGACTGGGGGGTCTGGGGAGAACCGGGGGGTCTGGGGATGAACCGGGGGGCCCGGGGATGAACCGGGGGGTCTGGGGATGAACCGGGGGGTCTGGGGAGAACCGGGGGGCCCGGGGATGAACCGGGGGGTGCAGGGACCCACCGTGGCCAGGGGCTCGGGTCTCGGGGCCAGCTCGATGCCGGGGAACAGCGAGGGGTACAGGGGAGTGCTGAGGTCACAGACCACCTCCAGCAGCACCGGGGAGGGCCCGTCGGGCCGGGGGGGCTCCGGGCCGGTGCCGAGGCCGCAGGCGATGTCGGGGTTCACCGTGAGCCCCAGCAGCTCCTCGGCTCCGCTGCCCTGCGGGGGTACCGGGACATGTGGCGGGGATCCCCGGGACATCCCGGTGTCCCCGTGGGGGTCCTGCCCACCCGCGCCCCTCCCACCACCACTCACATCATCCTCCGGGAGCGTCAGGGTCTGGAAGCCCAGCACCGGCACCGGGAGCGAGGGGGGATCCGGGAAGAGCCCGTCCAGCTCCCGGAGCTCCGGTGCCTCCATAGGGAATCCCTGGGGACCCCCCCGCGGGATCCCTCCTGCCCTGAGGCCCGGGAACGAACCCCCTGCGCCCCCTCCTCGGAGTTCCCCGGTCTCCACCGCGGTCCCCGGTAGTGCCGCCGCCTCCGCCCGGTGCCGGCGCTGGGCACCAGGATCTCCGGGATCCCGGGGAATCCAGCCAAGTCCCGCCCCGTGCCGGGAAGGGCCGGGATCATCCCTCCCCCAGCGGGGCTCGGGGCTCCGGCCGCCCCACCGGGGCACCAGGGGCAGCGGGGAGGGTGCGGCTGCCCCGGTACCGAGTCCGGGAGGGTCTCGCGGGGGAACCGGGAACGGGGCCGGGCCTGGGGCAGCACCTCTGCGGCCGCCGGTGGCTCTGGACCGGAGCCGGTGCCCCCCGCACCCCCAGTAACGGAGTTCGGGTGTGGAGGAACGGGGGGATCTTCCCGGTAACGGGGTCCAAGGGGGGACACGGAGGATTCCCCCGCCCCGCCCGGCCGAGCCGACACGTGCGCGCTCCCGGGGCCGCGGGGCCGCGCGGGCCCCCGCTCGCTCCCCATTGGCTGCGGTGCACGTCAATCACTGAGGCCAGAGGGGATCCCGCGTCACTATTGGCTGTGCGGCGGCGGCGGCCCCGCCCCCCGGAGTTCCCGGGACGCGGTTGGGATGCGGCGGGCGGTGAGTGCGGGGGAACGGGGGGAGCGGGGGGGTCCCCGTCCTCCGACCCCGCCCTCCGTCCCTGTCCGCGATCCCCATTTCCATCCCAGCCCCGGAAAAGCCCATCCCTGACTGCCGGTCCCTATTTCCCGATTCCCGGGTCTCGATCCCGGTCCCGGTTCTTGATCGTGCTCCCGGTCCGGTCCTTGATCCCGATTGCGGTCGTGGTCCCCGGTCGCGGTCCTTGATCTCTAACTGGGTCCCCAGTTCCCCATCCCAGTTCCGGAAAAAACAGTTCCCGATCCCGGTCCTTGATTCCGGTCCCGATCCTTGTTCCCACTCCCGGTCCCTCCCCGCCGCCCTGTCCGTGCCCCGGGGCCCCGGGCGGGGGGGACTCGGTGTCGGGTGAGTCACCGGGGCCGGGGGGCGGCTCTGACCGGCCCGTCCCGTTTCAGCCCCACTTCCCGGGGATGCGCAGCGGGGCTCGGAGCTTCCCCGGCGGCGGGCGCTGAGCTCCGGGAGCGCGATGGACACCGGGCTCGGGGCCGCGCTGGCCTGGAGCCCCGGGGCGGCCGCGCAGCCCCCGCCCGGGCTGGGGGTGAAGTTGGGGTCTCTGGTGCTGCTGCTGCTGCTGCCCCTCGCCTGCGGCCTGGCGCCCCTCTGGTGCTTCCGGCAGCCCCCCGGTACCGGGCTCTGGGGGGCTTGGGGGGTCTCAGGGGTTCGGGCGGTCCCGGGGAGTGCGGGACTCGGGGGTTCAGAGGGCTCTGGGGAGGCTGGGGGGCTCTCAGGGATTTGGGGGTGTCTGAGGGGTTTTGGGGGATCGTGGAGTCGGGGGAGTCTGAGGTAGTGGGGGGGTCGTGGGTATCTGGGGGGGTTCCGGGGGCTCTTGGAGTTTGGGGGTCGCAGAGTTCCCCGGGAGTCTGGAGGTGTCCCGAGGGTCTGGAACAGGCTGGGACCACACTGTCCCCACCTCAGGGCTGTCCCCAAGGGGCCTGTCAGGGTGCAGGGGGGGCTCTTTGGGGTCTCAGTCCCCCAAATTCCCCCCCAGACCCCCGCAGCCCCATGCTGAGCCTCGTGAGCTGCTTCTCCGGTGGTGTTTTCATGGGCACCTTCCTGCTCGACCTCCTGCCTGACTACCTGGGCAGCATCGCTGCGGCACTGGAGGGGCTGCGCATCACGGTGAGACCCCCGGGGTGCCAGCAGGGGCCTGTCCCTGTCCCCACGGGTGTCCCTGTCCCCGGGGACAGGCTGGAGGGGAGGGGAGGGATGGACAGTGAGAATGGGACCAGCACAGAGGATGGACAGTGCAGGGGAACAGGGAACGGGGTGCTGGGGGGAGGATGAGGATGGGGAAGGACAGGGCAGCTGGGACAACAGAGAAGGGACAGTGGAGGCAGGGACAGCAGGGCCAGACCGGTGCCGGTGGAGCAGCCGGAACTGTGACAGCGTCCCTGGAGCTGCCGGGAGCCCCTTGCGGCCCACATGACTCATGGAAAGATCCTCTGTCCGCTCACAGCTTCCCCTTCCCCACTGACCCCGTCCCCTGCCCGCAGCTGCAGTTCCCTCTGCCGGAGTTCATCCTGGCCATGGGCTTTTTCCTGGTGCTGGTGCTGGAGCAGGTGACGCTGGCGCAGCGGGAGCTGTCGGAGCCGCCCGAGGAGTCGCGGGCGCTGCTGCCCAACGGCTCCATCCAGGCGGCGGTGGCCGGGGGCTCGCTGGGCTCGCCGGTGCCGGTGCCCGGCGGTCCCGGGGCGCTGCGGGCCGGGGCGCTGGCGCTGGCGCTGGCGCTGCACGCGGTGCTGGAGGGGCTGGCGCTGGGGCTGCGCGAGGGCGACGCGGCCGCGCTGCGGGTGCTGCTGGCCCTGCTGCTGCACAAGGGCGCCGTGGCCTTCGGGCTCTCGCTGGAGCTGCTGCGGAGCCGCCTGCGCCCGCCCGCCGTGGCCTCGTGCCTCGTGCTGCTGGCCCTCATGTCCCCGCTGGGCGTCGGGGTGGGCACGGCGCTGGCGGCGGGCGCGGGGCCGCGGCAGCGCCTGTGCCGGGCCGTGCTCCAGGGGCTGGCGGCCGGCACCTTCCTCTTCGTCACCTTCCTGGAGATCCTGCCCCAGGAGCTGGGGGTGCCCCAAAACCGCATCCCCAAGGTCATCCTGATCCTCGCCGGCTTCGCGCTGGTCAGCGCCATCCTCTTCGTCAAGGGATGAGATCCGCCAGCCCTGGAGGATCCCAAGGAATTCGTGTGCCCCCGCTGCGTCCTTTTTTCCCAAGTGCCAAAGTGCCTCTCCCGTCTCTGTGCCTCAGTTTCCCTGTCTAAACTATCCTCTTTCTCAAGGGGAGACAGTGCCTGCCCTGGGATCCCCCATTTTCTCTCCTGGACACACCCGTGGAATTCCTATCCCACCCTGCACCCCCTTTTCTGACGTGCCAAAGTGCCTCTCTCAGCGCTGTGCCTCAGTTTCCCCATCTGCACAAGGGACCGGTGCTGTGACCCCCCCCCTCAGGACCCTGGGAGGGGGTGAGTGTCCCCCCCCATAACCGCAAGTGCCTTTACGGACTCCCCCGGGTTTGGGGGTGTTGGATGAAGCAAATAAATGACTGAACCCCAAAGCGCTGCCTCTGCCTGGGGAGGGCGGGATGGAATTTGGGGAGTGCGTCGTGGTGTCCCCATGTGGGCTGGGGGAGTTTGGTTCTCCCCACTTTCGGGTGTCGTGTGTGTTCCCAGGCGTGGGGCGGGGGTCACCCCGCTGTGGGCCCCAAAGCCCCCCCATTTCAGAGCCCCCCATCCCCGTACCCCCCGATAGCCTCAGGCCACGCCCCCTCCACCGACCACGCCCCTCCACTGGCCACGCCTCCTGCATAACTCACCCCTCCTCCATAACCCACTCCTCCTCCATACCCCACCCCTCCTCCATACCCCACCCCTCC